CAGGGTGGACGCTTCGGGTACTTTTTGCTCTGTTAGCTGAGACGGGATTACAGGTGAAATACACCATTCACTGTTCACAAAAGAGAAGCCAACACCGAAGAAATGAGGAGGCCACAGATCCCAGGAAATTGGAGTGACAGTCTGGGTAGCTGATCCCAGCCCATCAATGGTGTTGGGGTGGCCTGAAAAACCCCACTGCACGGGTCCCCATGGATGAGGGGTTCTGGTGAAGTGAAGGGAAGGTACTGCAGCAACTGTCTCCAAATAAAGGAAAGCCACAAAAGGCACAAAAAGAAATTCATTAGCACGAAAGCCAGGCTCCTTCTCACGAATGCCTCAACTGCACCTGTAACCACACAAACCTACAGCAGTGAGTCTTAACTGCAGAGGCATTTTCCCTGGAAAGCCAGGACAGAATTAACAAGGGATTTGATCACATCCCGGCTCTAGCCCAGATTCCCTCACCTTTGGAGTATAGGAACTTGGAGATGGACACACACGCCTATGAGTATATGGACTTGAATACACATATATTCAGACACTGTAAAAATCAATCCTCACCGGGCATGGTGGTGCACGCCTGTAAGTCCAGCTATGCGGGAAGCACAGGTAGGAAGTCGAAGGCTGGCCTGGGGCAAAAGGAAAACTAAAGTAACGCAAAAAGAGCTAGCGGTGTGGCTCGAGCACTGGAGCCAGTGCCCCTCGTGTTTTTTCTTTGTTTGCGAACTCGTACACGGTTCTTTTCTGATGAACGTATTCAGGCTGCAGACGTCCCTGTAAAGATGCGTTCAGGCTTAGGAACCCCCGTGACACCTTGCATTTCCACCATTTCTCTTCATTTCCAGTCTTCTTCGCTCCTGAAATGCTACCTTGTGGATTTTGCCATGTGTGTAGAGACACCAGCTCACTTCTAATTCCGTTCACGTCGCAGCTTTGCTCCACGCTTCTCTCTAAGATTTGCCTCTGGCAAACGCACGTGCTTTTGTTTTACAGCCCAGCCATCCTTGTCTTCCAGCTGGAGTAGTCAGTTTATTTCTAATGAAAAATCAGGTGCATTTAGAAGTTCAAATCTGTCGCTCTGCTTGTCGCCATGGCTTCGTGTTTCTTTTCCGTTCCTCTCGTGGCCTGTTTTGAATCCATCACTGTTCTGTTACTCCTTCGTTTCCCCTGTGATAAGTGACTAGTCACATATTCTTTCTTATTGCATTTTTAGTGGCAACTCTAGAAATTAAATGCATATCCCAGACTTTGAAAATGTAAATATGAATTGTTATTTTACAATTTACGTCCACCTATCCGTTTCCTCTTTCCACACGTTATCTTATTTTCTGTGCTCTCCTTTCTGTGATTTAGTCTGGATATTTTCTACAAACCTGTACACTGTTCTGTTTTTATTTTTATTTGTTTTGGCAGTCCTGGGGTTTAAACTTAAGTTTGCTATGCAGGCTCTCCACCATGTGAGCCATAACTCCAGCCCTTTTTGCTCTGGTTATTTTGGAGGTGGGGTCTTGCTTTTTGCCCAGGCTGGCTTCCTGCCATTGCTGAATGGCAGACATGTACCACCACACCCTCCCTTTTTCAATTAAGATGGGGTCTTGCAAACTTTTTGACCGGGTAGGCCTGGAACTATGATCCATTCAATCTCAGCCTTCTGAGTCACTTGGGATGACAGGCGCACACCCCCACACCCAGCTATTGGTTCAGATGGGGTCTCCATAATTTTTTGCTTGGACTGGCCTTCAACTGTAATCCTCCTGACCCTAGCCTCCAAAGTAGCTAGAGTTACAGGCACATGCCACCAGGGCCCAGCTCACTCCTCTGTTTTTAATCTGCTGTCAGATTAATTTTAGCTCATAATTTTAGTTAGCATATGTTTCTGTTCCAAAATTTCCATTTGACTATAGGGTATGGATTCTAATTCTGTGTGAAATCCTACATTTTGTCATCCACGGAACATGTTTATCACATGTTTTTCCGTTGTTCTGTTTTGTTAACACACAGGTCTAATAACTCCAGTACCTGCTCCTGTTGTGTTTCTCCTCTTGATTCCGCCTTGTCATAAGAATCAGGAAGTTTTACTGAACTATAGTCTGGCCTATCAAAACTTTGCAGACTCTGATTGATGTCATCCTCCCCCAGAGTGACATTTTCAGAGTCTCTGGGTGGCAACTGGAGCAGCAGAGTCTGTCAATTAAGTTAGGGTTGAGCTAAGTCAAGACTGGATTTCATCTTAGACACATCTGGTGAACTTAGCACTGGTTCTCCCTTCCCCCTGGGGTACGGTCCTGCAGTGATCCCAAGATGATGACCCATTTTTATGTTCTCAGCCCCATGAGGCTGTCAAGCAACGAGTTTAGTTTGCTTCTGGGCATCTCAGCACATCAGAATCAATGGATCCCTGGACGAAAAACCTACAGCTCAGATAGAGTCACTGTGGGGAATCCCTCCTTCAGGAATTCTGGACCATTAAGTTCTAGGTCCATGTCTATGTTTTACTGCATTTTTTTGTGGCACCGAGATTTGAACTCAGGGCCTCACACTTGTTAGGCAGGTACTCTGCCATGTGAGCCATTTCCCCAGCCTCTTTTTTGTTTTTTTAAAATAGGACCTCGTGAACTATTTGCCCAGGGTTGGCTTTGAACCTTGATCCTCCTGAATATTAAAGGCACAGGCCACGGGCACCCAGCCCAAATCTGCTTTTCTTTACTTTCACTAGTGTTTGAAATTCAAAAGTCTGGGAATGATATTCTTATCTACAAATTTGCCTCCTTTTTCAATGCTGCTCCATTCTGCATTCTCCCTCTCCTGCTGTTTGGACATTAAAAAATCCTCCTTTCTCTCCCTGCTCCAGGACCTTTGCATACGCTGGTCCTGCTGTCTGGGGTTTTGTCCTACAGTCCTTCCCTTCGCATGGCTGACGGCCTCTGAGCAGGAAGTAAGCTCTTAGCCAGACGTGCCCGGCTCAGTGGGCTTCCTGGACCTGGGCCATCCCTCCACAGCGCTCTGAGTTACGCGCATCAAGGCTTGCTTGTTGGTTGGTTGTCCCCGGACGGCGAGGACCGGGCAGGTTGCATTCACGAGTGCCACGCGCTCGTGTTAAGGCTGGAGAGAGGGTCTGGAGGCGGAGACCTAGAGGACGGGCTTGCGGAGGCTTCGTGGAGAAAGCTGTGCCGTGAGCCCACCTTTCACTCACTCCCCCCCCCAGACGGCGAAGGGACAAGGGCTTCCAGCTGAACCCCAAACAAGAGGAGGATCTTTAGAAGCACCACTTGAAGAGTTCAATGTGTGTCCCATGGAGGCAGCTGGTGTGTAAGTCACACCGGGAAATGTGAGGGCTGTGACACCAGCTGTGACACCGTTAAGCAGGCGTTGCTGCATTGGTCTCCTAAACTTTGAGGTGGTTCCTGTAGCCAGCTGGGGGCCACGTGCGAGAGAACCAGCCTGGAGCTGCCTGGGAGCTCACCAGGGCAGCCACAGAGGTGAATCCAGGTAAGCCAGCCGACCTGTGCAGGAGTTGAGGGGCGGCCGGTAGATAAGGTGTGTGCACAGAGGCAGGACCGCCCCGGGGGCTTGGGAGGGCAGGACCAGGGTCTCAGAAAACTACCAAAGCGCTCAGGGTACCCAACCTTAAACACCTGCAAACCAGACAGCCGAAAAGACAAGGCCCTTCCTGGTCTCTGGCCCAAAGTTCCCTTGTGAATAGGCAAGGGGAAGACAAAGAGGCGATGCCCAAGTGCCTCCCTCACCACAGACATCGCCAGCAGCACAGCCCCATAGGAAAGAGAAGACATACGTGAAGTCACACACATTCTGAGAATCGGCCCTGGCACAACTGCGCTCCCAGCAACACGGAAATAATTTTGAAGATCAATCAAGTAACATCCAAGTACGTAAGCATCTTGCTTCTATGGCAAGAGGATGAACCCTTGTCGTTCTCAGACCCTGGTCTCTCCTATTTCGACAAGCACAAGTGCATCCCATTTAAAAAGAGAAAAGGCAACTGCAAATGAACCCGTTCCTTTCCCATCCCAGCCCTGCCATTAACTGAAAATTACTGACTTGAAAAACAGAATGAGGTGCCAAAGCCCTCCCCTCCCCGGTCAGTTTCCAGGCTGGCCGGTCCCCTCAAAATTTACTTAAGTTCTGATGCTCTGAGGCAGAGCTTGGGCTGGGAGATGCTACCACAGTGTCCCAGCAGCCTTGCTGCGCCCTGTGGGGTGGACCAAGGAGCCTCCTTCCCAAAGACCAGGTCTGCACTCTCAGGGACAATGGAGGACACACCGAGTCACTGTGAAATGTATCATAAAGACGATGACAAACCAGACCTAAAATACATCCTCCCTGTATTTCTTCTCAATGCCTGGAGACCCCCTGGGATCACTGATTTCTTCTTTCATCTGACAGCACACCACATCTAAAGACCATCACCAGGACCTCGGACCCCTCTGAGGAGGACCAGAACGTCAAGTTCCACCAACCTGGGCCTTTCTCTTACCCCAGAACTAGGGTAAAATCCTAGGCTTAAATGGCCCCATGAATAATTCCTCAAAACCAGTAAGTGCAGGTTAATGACAAATGTAATAAACTGACGTGACATTTCAGCAAATGTGACCGAATATAAAAGTGTAAAACACAAGCTGCAATGCCTCCTTAACCAATGGGTACTCAGAGTAAGTGAACAAGAAATGACCTAAATCCCAGTTAGTCAAGGATAGAACCAGAAGACATGACCTTTTGCTGCATCCCAACACTGAGCCAATGCCTTAACTGGCCAGGCTGTCCCTCCCTCAAGCCAGAGTGTCTGCCCCCACCCCCCGAGTCCTGGGGACTCAAGCAGAGTGTCGGCACGGGTAGGGTCATGCCCTTGGAAATGGTAACCTGACATTGGGTAATAGTTACACACAGCACATGTTAAACCACCACCATCCAAGGTCAAGTCGAGGTGTGCCCCCTCCGCCCCCATCCAGGGACACTGAGGCACCCCAAGGGGCAGCACTGACCTCCCAGCTAGACATCTCCGCAGGGAGTAGGAGGCACCTCCCCCACAGGTGCGGGAGCAGTCACTCCAGTCACCCCAGGCGTCCCAGTTGGCGTCTCTGTCTCCATCTGAATGAGCGTTTCTTGAGGTCTAGATGTGGGGGGGAGGGGAAAAAAACAGTCAGTCATCGAAGAACAAACGCTGCCTGATTCCCAACTCACTGAAGCAGAAAGTAGACCGATGTCTGCTGGGGACAGGGGGTTATTATTCAGGGGTGTGAAGTCCAGCCGTGCAGATGAAAAGGTCAGAGAGACCTACTGTACAACACTCTGTCCACAGTCAACGGTTCTGTACTGTGCACTGCAAAATTTAATTCATTATCATGCTGGGGGTCTTTTTAACCACAATTTTAAAAGAAAGAGTAAAAGAAAGGCCAGGCCGGGGGTGCAGGCCTATAATTGTAACTACTTAGAAAGCAGAGGTTTGAGGTTTGAGGCCATCCCAGGAAAATGTTAGCAAGACTCTATCTCAACTAAACAAGCCAGACGGGTGGTGCATGCTGTCGTCCCAGCTATGCAGGAGGCCAGAGGTGGGAGAATCGCAGTCAAGGGCGCCCCTCTAGGCAAAAAGGTGAGACTCTGTGAAAACTAACTAAAGCCAAAAAAAAAAAAAAAAAGTGCTGAGGATGAGGCTCAAGTGTGAGAGCGCCTGCCAAGAAAGCATGAGTTCAAATCCCAGAACCACCACAAGAAAAGAAAGAGAGAGAGAGAGAGAGAGAGAGAGTAAACTGCCTTGAACACAAGAACACAGCACAGATAAATCAAGTAGCAGTCACAATTTTTATTAGTATACGTTTAACTGGGCAGAATAGTGGTTTAATTGTGACATTTTCATGGTCGTATCTATTAAATTTTTCATAAGAGTCTAGTGTAAGGACATACAATCAATGTCATGAACAGGCTTTGTGTTTTTTTGAGACAGGGTCTCCTTCCATAACCCAGGCTGGTCTTGAACTTGCCATCCTCCTTTCAGTCTCCCAAATGCTAAGATTAAACAGGTTTTTTTTAAAAAAAGTAGATAAATAACATCATAAAGTCTACCCAAGTAAATTCCGTATATATTAGAAATTTGCGTTAAAATTCTGAATCCATAAGACATTAGAGAAACGATGCAGCAGTGGCTATGCGGAGTTCACACAGGGAAAGACTTGTCAGTGAAGGTAGAAAGGAAATGGAAAAGTGGCTCAATTGCATTAAAATAAACATAAAAAGGGTTTTCTGTCTCTAGCGTCAGTACAGACAGGGGTGTCAGGAAACACACGAGCACCAAATGCAGGAGCACAAATTCCCCAGTGTCGGGAGACACAGGAAGGAAAAGCCAAGATGTCATTTGTCCCAGACCTTCAGGAGCCAGGTCCCAAGCAGGTGACAAAACCGGCCCTCCTGGAGGTCGGTTTATTACTTTCACGGCTCTGCGATTCCTTTAGAACCTCCTTCGGGTCGCGAGGTGGGCGCCCTGTGACAGCGCGGATCTGTGGGGCAGTCTGCAGTCTGGGCCTCTGGACACGGGTCGATTTGTGCGTGCGTGGACAAAGTGAGAGCTTCAGTGACAGCAAGAGGGCTCTGAGCCATTTTAACAACTTTGAGTTTTGTTTCTCTGCATTTGGTGCATCCTTTTAAAATCATCTAGCACCTTAACTAAACAAGCAGCATGGAGAACTTCAAGTCAGCCAGAATTTAATAGGTAACCGAGTTACAGAATGGCGACACACCAATAAACCACAGCCGGTGACCGACCTAGGTGTCACACAGGCTTCCCTAAGCCCTTAGGCAAGCTACCTCATCCAGCTAAAAAAATAAAAAGAAAAATTAAATTAAGAGAGGGATCTGTAGAAAGAACCTTCAAAACCAAAATGAAAAAGTAAGGAGTGGAAGCAAAGAAGGGGTTTTCCAGTCATTTTCACTCAAGTCCCACCGGCCAGCAGGTCTTGGTGGCATCTTGCCAACCCACCTATTTATAGCCTAGTGAGCCGCTGGCTGGAGGCAGAATTTCAAGAACAGCCAAGCCCAAGGAAAGGATAAAAAGTTGGTGACGGATGAAATCTGTCATCGGCAATAGGGGTTAATTAAACCCATATACTTACTGTTCTTATTACACCACTGTTCTGTTCAATTATCTACCATAAATGTCACCGAACATAACTGTGTCCTGCCTCTAACACAATATAAAATATGAAGTTTAAAATTCATTAAAAAATACAATAAGCAGTTTAAGCATTCATCTGGACTTTTAGGTGGGGGTAAGCCCAAATCATTTAGGTAAACGTTTAAAATATACACGGTTGAAATTCATTCTTCATTTTGTCACTCAATCTGCTGATAGGTTGAACGTAAAAAGTTGAAAACATCATCAGACATCAGATAGTTTGTTAAATGAAAGTTGAGAGTTCTTTGTAATATTGTTTTAATTTGTTTTTATTCCTGCTACCCCATCTGTTCCATTTATAGTTGGAATCAGGTTTCTTTCCACAACTTCTCCACCTTTACTTACCCCTAAAATGACTAAAATAGACATGCCTTTGGTTTCTTGGAATGGGTCACTAGGATATTTCCCCTTAAGAAAACAGAAAGAAAATGTTATCTCAGAGGGTCCTCAAGATTTTCCTCTCTTGGCCATTAGGAGGGTTGGGTTTGGCTTGGAAACCCAGTGCCACCCACCAGCCAGCCCTCCTGCCATTTTCTTGCATTCTTCTTTGTCCTGATTTCTACCCGGCTCTCATCTCTTTCTGGGAACCTAGCAGCATGGTATCACCACCATGCAGGCAGAACGGAGCCCCCAAGGCCATTTCTGAAGTGGCATGTCCATGTGTCCTCCTCACGGTGACACCTCGAACATGGCGCTCGCATCCCTTAGAGCAGTGTCAGGTCCCCCTCACCTCAGGAAAAGCCCTTCTCAAATTCCCTCCAAGCCCAAGTTCTGGCTAACACACCATGCCTTCCACTCCCCTGCTCTTTCAGGACTGTGCACACAATTAAGATGGAGAATTTTTAATCTTAAAATGTATCCAGAACACAACACTGCATTAAAAAGAACATAATCCATGCACTGCCCTACAATCCTGGCTTCTTTGGGGGAAAACCTGTCTTCCTTTCCTCCTTCCTTCCTTCCTTCCTTCTTTCCTTTCTTCATTTTTTCTTCCTTCCTTCCCTCCCTCCATCCCTCATTTCCCCTTCCTTCCTTCCTTTTTCTTTTCCTCCTTTCCTCCTCACCTTTTCTTCCTTCCTTTCTTTCTTTACCCATCCCTCCCATCAGTCCTTCCTTCCCTCCTTTCTTCCTTTCCTTTCCTTTGCCTCCTTCCTTCCTTCCTTCCTACCTTCCGCCCTCCCTCCCTCCTTCCTACACCCTTTCCTCCTGTCAGTCCTTCCTTCCTTCCTTCACCCTTCCCTCCTGTCAGTCCTTCCTTCCTTCCTTCCTTCCTTTTCCAGCCCACACCATTTACTGGAGCTCTCTGGAGGCAGTTTTATATAAGGGTTAAAGGTCCTAGGATTGGTTTCTTAACCTTTGTAAACCCCGTCTATTTGGATCATCATTATCCAAATAGAATTTCAATAAAATAACACACATAAAGTAAATCACACAGCATCTCAACAAATGCAGTTGGTGAATGTCTCAACAGATGTCAACAATTATTCTTAATAAAAATAATGTCCTTTTCAAAACAGAGATGGCAGAGCCAGCTCTCCCATTTGTGCTTATGCAATACTTAACATTAATCACTACTGAATTTGCTCTTGTTGGTTTTGGCCCAGGACACCAGCCTGTTGAGGTCTTCTTGAGTCCTGATCCCGTCACCCCATCTGAACCACGTGGCTCAGCTTTGCAGCTTCTATGCATTCTCCCAAGTCACTGATAAACATACTGGATACGGCTCCATAACCTCACAGATCCTGTTAGTGCATAGTTCTGCTTTTTTAACACAGTAGGCAGAGCAGAGGGCCAAGGAAGGGCCGGCTCACCAGACTTGGAGTCTGTGCACACAGTTGAGCGTTACAATAAAAATATGAAATACTATCCATCACTGTCATCAAACGTCAGGAGGCAGAGAGGGCTGTGGGCGGGATGGGACCTGCCACTAGCAGGAACTGGGTCAGGCAGGGTGGGGTCGGTATTCTTGGGCTGTGTAATGGTGGCTGAGTCTCCGAAAAGAAGCATTATGGAGCAGACTCACTTTGGCCAGCCCCAGTCCTGAAGTCTAGTGACAATAAAATACAGCTGACTGGTGTCAGCTTCTGGCCCAGCTGTTTATCTGGAGGGATAAACAACTGTCCCTTTCCAAACATCTCTCTCTGCCTTTAAACTGTCGGAAGTCATTGTTTAAATTCCTGTTAATGTTACTTTCTAAAGTGAGTTGTTACCTGCACTCAGTCCAAGTCTGATTTACCCAGCATCGGGTCGCTCTGTGCCCCTGAGTTGGGGTCTGGGGGAGGACCTGGGCCATTGTGTCCTATTGAACATCTGGAGCTTCTGTTCAGGCCTGGAGCGAGGCCAGCACCCCAGCATTCTCTTGCCTCCTCTTTGACCGGCTCCACAGCCCTGCAGGTTCCTGTCCCCATCTTACAGGTGAGCAACTGTGGCTCCAAGAACCTTCTAGAACCCTGTGTGTCCCAGAAGTGAGGAGACCATGCAGAGCTCCTCTCTGATGTCCCCCCACCCCGGTCACAGCCTGTTCTCCTCACGGACGTCTGTGTGTTTTCTCCACGTCTCCCACAGCCCTCCTGAGCAGCATCCGGACAAGTTCAGCTGCCCGGCTAGCATCACTCACAGTCAGCGTGGATCAAATACACCCGCTGCTGCATCCACTGCACCACGGTATCCTCTCAGGATCTCAAGGAAGTCTTTCCCTTGTCCCCCATGTTGCCAGTGGGGCTACACTTGGGTTTCGCCAGAGTCTTTCCTTTTATCTAGGTCAGTTCACTGGCCCGTTCCTAACCGACGGTCGTGCATTTGGGTGTGTTTGCTTATTTCTCTCACACAATAATATTCCATACCACTATTCCAGGCTCTGTGCTCAGGAAGGCAAGGATCTGGTATCAGGTACAAGGAACAAGGTTGTGATGAGGTGACATCAAATTCTTAGGGGTCCAGAGCAG